TGATATTGAGTATATCTATATAAATATGGCGTGAGTGCCAAGATTCTTCATCTTAACAGTACACACATACGCACGTAATAATAATAATACTCAAAAATAATTATATAATAATAAAACTTATCAATATCCGATGATGACCGTCGATCGAAAATATCGGCGACAGTAACTCTTCGGCGGTTAATATGCTGCTCATGGTCATTACCGTTATTCAGTCCGGCAATCCAAGTAAATAGGCAAGGACGGACAATGACCCGTGTGATCGCTGAATATACATATGAATGAAATGATTTATATACATATATGTGTGTGTGTACATCGCAGGTGTAATAATAATTATACCATGAATATAATCATACTCCAATGACTACTGCACGATTTCGCTCTTCACACTTTTTAAAATATATTATACTCGTAGATGCAATCGGTAGTGACGAAAAATAATACAGCCGCATGGACCACAACATTTACGACAGGTTGCAATGAATCCAAAGGGATGTCGACAACCAAATACAACATCTGATGACCGCGACACAACGTGTACACTTTGCAATATAAATATAATTGAAGTGTGATTGACGTCTGACGATACACTTCACACAGGCCAGAGCGATTTGCGAAAGTCATTAAAAACAAAGGCGACGAAAACAGACACGATTTCGATACTCAAATGCTGATGAAAACGATTTAAAGGCAGATGATTGATGACTAGCGAGCGCGATATCAACAAAAGTTGTGATTATAGAAGAAGGGAGTCGTCGAAAAGTTCAATACACTGCGCGATCACGCGGATCGGTTTGGACCACGAAAAAGTAGCGGCGTGAATAGTTGTTGTACATATATAAAACATAATAATATATATGTAAAAGTTTCAAATATACCAACGAAAAATATTTCTCATTTAATATATTATTCAGTTAGTATAGTCCAGTATGAACTAATTATGAGAAATCTTGTTTTATATTTTTAAATCTGGCGTATGAATAATTAAAGTTTAAGACATTTTTAATAACAAAATAATTTTCAAATTTTCAAATCATACATAACAAATTTTAGTATAAGCATTTAGTGAAAATATCAAATATTTATGGTTTATACATTTTTGAGTAACATTAACATTCTTTCTTGTTTTTCTTGATTATTTGGAAAAATACTGAAAATTAAAATTTTAGGCCCTTAAATTTACCAACAAAAATTAATTTACTATAAAAAATCACCCTCATAGTTGAAGATCGAAGGGTATTTTTATTAAACATTGTGTGTATAAAGACAAAATAATCTCCATGTAATAAATACGTTCGGTCTTCTAACAAAAATATAATACCTGCATAACTACGTTATGGAATGTATGGATAAAATACATTTAACTGATTGCACATATTTCATTGCTTACAAAAAAATAATTCAATATTTTTAAATTGAAATTTGTTAACTTATGTTTTGCACTTGAATTTGATTTTTACATAAACTAAGGTTACACCCAAACCAAATAGCAATTTTTACAGATTGATAAATATATATATATATATAACTCAGGTAACTTAATTTTAGTATATATTTTAATTTATATACATATATATTTCAATGATAAACAATAGACATGCAAGTGACAAAACCTGACTTCCAACAACACGAGAGCTATAATTTATCATGGGTTAATTATATTAATGTTATGATGATAATAATACCATAGTCACACGATGCGTGCCAGTTTGAAATAAATTAGTGTGGTTTTAATCGTGAAAAATAATTTTTTTGCTAGGCGCGTACTTACAATTATAAATATATATATATCATAATAATTATTGTCGAATTTTTATATATCGTAAAATAATTTTTAGCAGGCAATTCATAAAACAACAACTGTTCTATGCGCATAAAATTAGGGTAAACAATCAAAGCGATTTTATAATTATAATACATCGTATGCAAGTATATTTTCAAAAAATACCATTTCTTTCGCCATTAAACTTAACACGGCTGTATATTAAAGTAGGTAGTTTATAATTTTATTGGTTAGAAATTGGATATTGTAGCGTAAAAACCCTTTAAAATTATCCACTTTAAAGGAAGTATTTTAACATTTTGCAAACTTTAAAAACTAGAAAGTTTTAATTTGATTTGTATGATATGATATTATAAAATACTTGTACGTTATATTTCACGCGCAGCGATGGATCGCTTAAGTTTTTCGTAGTTTACTTTGAATATACACATAAACCCGTAAAATATAATGAAATATTATTTTATAACAATAATTATCTCCAGCTATTTCATAAAAAAAAAAAATTCGAACAGGATTTGCACACACCTGTTATTAATATATTATAACTGATAACTATATGCCATAATACCATAGGTAATCTAGTTTATGATTATTAATTTTTAGCATTGATACTCCGAGTAACATTCAAATAACGTTGATTAGTGACGCAATTATTAGAGTTTACTTTTAGCTTGAGTATAAAAAACAAAATAATTAGGCCTCTATTTTTAAATAGTGAAATCATTGGAATTTATAAAAAAAATTTAAATAATATTTTCCTCTTATTAATGAAATTACATAATCATTAGATTTTAAAACTATACGTAAAATTTTGATGTCTCAGCCCGTCAGTCTTCCATAATATTATTTTAGATATTTATATAATGCTCAAATAAATAATAACACCGTATTGTTCTGTACGGCTATTTACCAATATAACAAACATAAAAATCAATTTTATATATTATTTTAGTTTGATTTATTTTATAACAAATTTAATATTTTATTACACTTTGTACGTATATCAACATACATTATACAAAGTAATATTTTAATTCTACGGTATGTTATAATGTAAAAATAAAACCCACGTGTATCGTAAACTAGAATGATCCGAAAACAATAATAAGATGCAATGTCAATATTGTTGTTATTACTGTGGTCTTTGACGATTTTTGTACTATCATTTACTATGATAAATTCTTTATACAGAGTGGACCTTGTAGTTCTCTACGTGGTCCGGTCTTAATCAGTTCGGTCCGGACCAGACCAGGCCGTGATCCGGTCTAGTCCGGTCCTAACATACAACAATTATTGAATCGTCGGTTTGGTCCGGTTCAATATTTTCTAGGAGTTATTCGGTCTAGTCCTCAGATAAAATACATTATTATCAGTCCGGTCCGGTTTCAATAAAAAAAAAAAAAAAAAATTCAGTCCAATCCGGTCCGGTCTAAATCACGATACCTAAAATCTAAATAAGATATTGTTATGTATTATAAATAAAACGAAAAACATCAAAAAAACCCACATTTATTGGTAAAATTTATTTATAAAGTGATTGTACTGATTACTAAATGCAGGCTGTCCGTAAATATCATCGGCTAGGTTAGGTTAGGTTAGGTTAGGTCAGCCTCGAAGGTCAAATTATATAATTTTATTTTTATTCATAGAATTCATAAATCACAACACGTAATTTCAAGAAATTACGTGTCTGGGTTAATATTGGATACATTTTACAAACTGGTCCGTAAACGGCCTAAAATGTTTTAAGATCGAGCCGGCAGTTCGGTCCAGACCTACTCGATTAAATTTAATTATTGGTCCGGTCCGGCTTATAAATAAAATGTAGCCATGGGTTCAGTCCGAATTTGGTCTTCTGTTCAAATTTAAAGTCGGTCGGGTCCCTAAAATAACATACTGTGCAGAACACGAGGGCCTACAGTATTATTCGTTTAAAATAATGATGAAAATCGGGGATGATTCAATGGTTCACTCCGTATACAAATTCAATATAGTAGGACAGGTGAACTTTTGCTCTGTCAGGACGACGAAATATCATTTTTCTTCTCTTTTGTCATTCCGAGCGTTTCTCTTTAATATATATTATATATTCATACAGATACAAGGAGTAACTGAAATACGAATAAAATGAAGACGCAGTCGTCGAAACAACCCACCTCAACGATTTTCCGTCCGTACATGGTGCGCGTACTATTATTATTATAAAATATAATGCATATTATTTTAGGTATAAGCATAGACGCTTATTTTTGTTATTTTGCATAATGCGTCGTAAAAATATATCTATGTAAGTACCGATGTACCATTATCTAAGTATAACAATGCGAAGAAAAATAATCAAAATATGGATGAACAAAATTCACGACGACGTCGTTACGTCATATAATTTTTATTATTATCTTATGATTTATACTAATAAAAAGCAATTTATGAGTGTATGTGTGTGTGTGTGTAAGCAATGTACAGCCGAGTGTTTCACACTTATGGTTGTGAAATCCGTTATATGTGTAATACTATATGCCTTAAAACGTATACCTCGAAGAATCGATTTTTTTTAAATTTTACATTTTAAAAAGATATGCTTAAGTTGGGAATTTATCGGCTTACGAAAATGAATATTATTATTTTCGTTAGTTTGTTTGTATAGGGTTGCAATCGGATACGAAAAAAAATAGTTAATAAAATCAGTTACAGATGTTTTCTTCGTGTGTTTTATATTTGATAGATACCACCCGGGCGACTGCGTTAAAAATATGTATTACAGTTTACACGCAGCGGAATGTAAGAAATAATAAACACACTGGCATTATTTAATTTGTGAGGGGAACCGCCAATGCGGTTTCGGCTATAGTTAAATAATACATTTTAGCGTACGGTATGTTCGAGCAAGTATACGTAGCTGCTCGTATTTTTGTTATTTGGACGGTTTCCCCGACTACTGCCCCGACCGACAGAGTCGTTTACTCGATCAATTACGTCGGGTGGTCGTGATCAATTTGTCCGCGGACGTGTCCGAAACTTTTCGACCGAAATCTAAAAGTGCGCTGGCTGTAGAGATTAATGTTTAATCGATAATTACGGCACACAGCACGCCACTTGCTCGCTCGCTCTCTCTCACACACACACACACACACACACACACAAGCAACACGGTGGGTTTGATGATACGCGAATGCCGCCTCGAAATGCACCCGTGTGATGGAGGGTGATGACTTACCGATCGGTCGCCGAGATTTCGGACCCTGCAGTGTAAGTACGTCATCTGGCCCACGGTCGCAGTGACGTCGCGTCTAGTGGCGTTGTCGAAGTAAGGCTGCGAGAACGGTTGTTCCCAATAGTTGAGGTTGCCGGTCTGTGACGGCGATTCGATCGAACCATCTGCAAAAGAAAATCACGAAAAATTTTTTTTTTAATATTCTATATTTTTAGTGTGAAAAAAAAATCATAATATAAATAATAGTACATTAACAACAATGCAACAATATAATATTTTATATATGTGTATACCGTGTGGTATATTATTACGGTGTCAGTTTAATTGCATTATGTGTACGGGGACTAAGTATTATTAAGTTGGTATAAACTACTAATATGCGGTTACAAAAAAAAAAAAAGTAAATTATAATAATAAACATTTTATTACTATTTGCATAGGTATTCTGTTTAAACCAAATTACTTCTTGAAGAAATAAAATGTTTTTATTGCATGTAATAATAACAATAATATGTCATGGGAAAAAAACACATATGAAAATGTATTTGATTTATGACTTTTATACAGCATATTTACAGTAATAAACTTAAGTTATTCGGCCCGTAGTACTATATAAGCGCCTGTGGGATTTTTAACGACTCTTGCGTTATAATACAGGTGGTAGTTACATATTACGTATACTTACGAGTTACAATAAACATGGCCCATAGTTTTATAATTTAAATCGTATTATTATATTCTTATTATATGTATAATAATTTCAATTATACCACACCGTATACCTATTATAGTGTTTATTAAGTAATATTCCTGAAACTTAACCCTCAATTATTCATTATTCATATTCAATGTATAATGTTTTTGCTTAATTATAGAGAATGTGATGTATTCGAGTTGGTGGTATCCTTAGTGTAATCATTAAATATTCGCACGGAATATTTAAACTCCGTTTACTCGCTACTCTATCAATTTGATTTCGAATGTCAAAAAACAAGCCATTAGTTTCATAATATGCATTATATATTTGCGTGGGAGCTGCTCGCGTGGCGTATATGTGCATTTCTTTTCACAAAGGTCTAAAAGGTCTATTGACCACAGATAGTCTCTACCCAGTCGTCGCCATCATCAATTTATCGTTTGCGTTATTTCAAGTTGATAATAATATCATCTGATATGACCGGTTGGCTGATTTATTGTATATCGCTCACTATGTAGGAGCTTATTTTTATTTTGCTGCGATACTTCATAAATCTAAGTGATAGGAATTATAATTCTATTGATAAATTTATGGAACACTAGTCATAAAAAAGCTAAATTAAAGAAAAATACTAAGAAAAACATAAACCATTTTATATATTATATTACTTATTATAAATTTATTATGCAAACACGATATTTGTTTGCGATGCAATTTATTTATATAGACATTTGATAGTAAACATAATAGTATTTAAACACATAAATACGTACATACTGTTGGATTTTGAAGTGAATAGCTATGAAATTTATCCCCAAACTCAATATAATAGCGAGTTTTCGAGGACTTAGTGACTTTGCATTGTTTTAAAAGTGCTATATATCTCTGATATAAATTCTAGTTGTCAACGACTTTTTCCCGGTAGCATGCTATATTTACTTATTTAATTTTAAGCTCTTTGGATTCAATTGTTACGTTTATTGTCCATAGTTCTAAATATGGGAAATTCTGAATTTAATGTATGCGATGCTTTCTCAAATCGATAATACAAATTATTAAAAACTAATAATCAAACTTAACCTAAATTTAAAATGAATCATTGTTATACTTTCAACGGAATGTAAATTAGTTAATTTTGATTTAAGATTTTTGAACCTAAACAATTTTTTTTAAATTCTTATACATAATCTAATTTAATAGTAACTTTATTATAATAATTAATATTAAAAAAAAAAAAAAAACCAACCAAAAATAATATACTCGTCGCTTATAAATAAATTATTTTTTACTAATAAAATTAAAATATAAAACCAAAAACTACTTAAGTATTATTCATTATTCAAAAGAATTATAATTATTCTTTATTTATTTATTGTTTGATAAAACATTAAAAACAAAAAAAATGTGAGTAAATTTTTAAGTATACCCAGATCACAGGTATAAAGTATTAATTATTTTAATAATATCAATGAACAACAAAAATGTATTAAAACAATCAATTAACTCAACACTATTCTATAATTAACTAAAAAATATTGCATACAAATATAATAATAATAATAATAATAATAATTATTATTTTTACAAACATATTTTTATTATTATATCTAAATATATTTTCCTTTTGATATTTTAAAAATGTCAAATATTTTTTCTATTACTTAATATTATGTAATTATTGTTCTCAATATTTTGCACACGAAATTTAACATAATAACATCCCTATAAAATAAAAGTTATAATAAATCCATACATCGAATTATCTTAAAAATTAAGTCTCATAAAAAATTTACTTTGTTATATTTAAAATGTATTTATTTATTAATTTATTCAATTTTATATCAAATATTTAATTTACATTTATACGTTGATACCTACACCCACTAAATATGTTTGCAATGAAATTAGAGAGTTTAACTGTAGTCTATACTATTTCATATAAATGATTAGATACATATTGTTATATTAGATATCAAAGATAACATATTACATGTTTACATAGTTAGGTATATAATTGACTGTTAACAATAATGAACAATAATATTGTATTGATCAAGCAATCAAATATAAATATTGTTTAACATTAATTTAAATTTAATATTATCACCAATAAATTAAATTTTATTGAGTAATTGATTAAGTAATTGTATCCCTTTATTTGTATTAAAATTCCTAATTGACGTTATTTTTAATTTAATTAACCTTAAATTTCCGTTATTCTCACCCTTTGTTTTATATGTATTATGATATATATTTTTTATAACTGATAGCTTATTGTATAATTAATCAACTGTTAATACGTTCAGTTTTTTTTTAGTAAATCCTTTGTATTATACTATTTTATTATTACATTGTTATGGATTGAACAAAAGCAAAATAGACTACTCTTAGACCAGTAATATTCAACGTATAATTCTTGAAATATATATTAACGTAAATTTTCTCGTAAAGTATTGCATTTAAATATTTGACTAAATCTACTCTAGATATAAAAATACTTAAATATGTATACATATCTATATTATATATATTTTTTTTAATTACTATTATGTAGTTTAATATTAATGTTATTTGATTGATTTGACATTGATTGATAAAGGAGAAAACCATTTAGTAATGAAATGTGATAAAATGTTTAGTTATAAAATGATTACAGTCTCAAGGGAGATAAGCTAAGGCGAGTTTACGCCACTAAGTATAAATGATTTTCAAAAAGATCAAACCATTATAACATGTATAATATTAATATATAATACCAGTGGATACACTTGGATAATAATATTGTATTGGTCCTTTTAATTGTTATTATTTTTCAATGATGTGGATAAACATAAAAATGTGCTTACTACAAATTCGTGTTATCGATATTTGTATAATGTGCACATTATTACACATAAAAATATAATGATATTTTTATTCTGGATGCTAGTAACCCATTTATAAATAAGACCAGTAATTATAGCGTCTCCGTCGCATTTATTTATCGTAATATTAGAACATTTTATCAATATTTTACCGAACGCAAGAAACACATGGTCATAACATACATTGTTTGTAATATATTTGAATGAATGAAATGAAGAATGTATTGGTTTATGTAATAGTGTTTAGTTTTTTGTTTACTACATTATATTTTATTAAGTAGACGCTTTTTTTACACTAATACAAGCACTCAAAAAGTTTTGTATAACAAATACTGCTCATTCATATATTTACGGTACTCTTCGTTAAGAGGTAATTTTTCCATTTTTTCCCTTGATAGTTTTTCTGAGCATTATAAAGGAAATCTTATTACTAAGTCGAGAATTCAAAAGTTTTGAAGTCATGTCAAGAAAATAGTAAAGTTATGAATTATGAACGTTTAATGCGATCGCGATGATCTGATTTTAATCGCGTTCTACGATCAATTAATATCACTGTACCATTGTGATTCAAAGCGAGAAATTCGATATGAGCTTCTTCTGGACTCAGATTTTCAGCGTATTCCATCCAGCTTGGTTTGGTTTTTTTGTGTAATATTTATACTATGCTTTTTACTATCGATTTATACCAAGACTATTCGTACACGCATTCGTGTAATCGCGTGAGTGAAATAATTCACGATTTGCCGGCCACCGACACCGATGTTTTCGTATAGTATCTTGTACGGTTGATACAGGCCCGTAGCCAGACCACATTTTCAGGTGGAACAAAGCAAATTTCTTTTTCTTTTTTTTTGGGGGGAGGGGATTATATATAAAAACAATATTAATGCAGTTTTTAATTTATTTACACTAACATCTTATTAAATCAACACAAATGTAATTTTCCATTTAATATCCATTAATAACAGAATATTTTGAGAATTTAAAATGAAACATTTATTTTAAAAATACAAAATAATAAAAATAAAACTTAAATTAAAGTTTACGTAGATAATTAAATATTACACTGATATCACATGGTTACATTTTTATGGTAATATTTTTAGGGAGTCAACGCCTCCCCTTCTTGCCACCTGTGGCTACGGGCCTAGGTTGATGTAATATTGCTATATATATTATTATGCATAGTAAATAATAGTTATTTCTTGTGATATAATGCATAATAAGAGTTCTCGGTGAATTTAGCCTGGTACTTAGACCAACATTAGTCGTTCGATGGAAAACCAAAGAACCACCGGAAAGAAACCATCTGCAGAGATGTGTTTATCGTGATTTTTGTTCGCTTATTGTATGACCGTATGCGACTTAGTATGATTTTAAACGTATTGCGTATAAAAATAAAAAAACGAATCAAATTCATTCTTGTGAACGATCGATTTTCTAATCAAATCCTTCGCCCGTATATTATATAGGTAAAACTGTTTTCAACATTGCAGTGCCACGGAGAAGACGAAGACGACGGCGGAGATCTCTTGGTCGGATTTAATACATTTCATCCTTTGTCTTTGGCATAGCCATATATAATAATATATATATAAAAAGT